TGTTGAATTTCTAAACACGCAGCCCACATTTGTTGAGAGTTGAACACGCAGCCCAAACTTTGAATTTCTGAACACGCAGCCCATATTTGTTGAGAGTTGAACACGCAGCCCAAACTATTTCTGAAATCTGAACACACAGCCCAAACACTTGATATTGAACACACAACCCACTGATTTTGAAATCTAAACACACAGCTCAAATACTCGACGTTGAACACACAGCTCGAACTTTGAAATCTGAACACACAGCCCATTCTTTTAGATGAACACACAGCCCACATTTTTGAAAGTCAAACACGCAGCCCAAACTCTGAGTTTCTGAACACGCAGCCCAAATTTGAGGTGAACGCACAGCACACACTTGTATTTGTACACAGCTCACAGTATTGCATCTGATTTGGTCTGCACACAGCTTATTCATTTCATTCTGAAACTGAATACATGTGTTCATTACGAATGCAGGTGTCTTCCCGTGTTACACGAGGATATGGCTCCATCGTTGCGAGGGAGTGGTACACAGAGCTCCCGCTGGCCGTCCGTGATTGGGTTGACCAGGCAGGGTTCAGACCCTTTTGCACGAGGATATCTCGCTATCCTGCTAGCAGGACATTGATGGGGGCTCTTGTAGAGAGATGGTGGGACACCACCAACTCCTTCCATTTCTCGGCCATCGGGGACATGACTATGACCCCCCGTTCAACTTTGCTGTATTGACAGGCCTTAACATGGGAGGCTGGGCGATCGCTTATGATGAGGATATGGGCGAGTGGGAGACCGCCTGGATCTATCTATTGGGAGCTCGCCTACCGGTTGACAGAGCATCGGGCAGGGTCCGGTACACTTGGTTCTCCACACATTTCAGGGGGACTGAGCCCGAGACTCCCGAGGAGACAGCGCACTACACTTGAGGTTTTTTGATGTTCCTCCTCAGGACCACTCTGTTCTCCGATAGGGGGAACACCGTCAGACTCTATCTGCTACGTGCCCTGGTAGGCCTATCATAGGTCAATCGGTATGACTGGGGTGGCGCCGGCTTAGCTACCCTCTATTGCTACATGAGCGCGACCTCCCGCGGATGGGGGAACATAGTTGGCGATTATTGGAGAGCCTGGGAGGTACTTTCTGCCCTAGTCTGAATAGTACCGCGGCACTACACAACAACGAAAAGTTGCCCCTAGTCTGAAAAGCACTGCATCGGAGATCATAACTGAACTCTTGAATGCTGAACAGACAAAGATGGTCGAGATGATCAAATGGACAAAGTTGATTGGGAAAATGTTTATGGCTGAACTTCAGGATAAAGTTGCCTACGTATCCCAAAGATAGGAATCAAGCCTTACGTAGTTCAGGCTCGGGTTCACTCGAGTATTTTCACTCTCCTTTTACGCTCTAACTTTTGCCAAGGCCGCCCTTTGCCGGTTTTCAACCTTGCGAGCTCAGTTTTTATATTTTTTAATTTTTTTATGCTCTAACTTTTGCCTAGGTCGCCCTTTTGGGTTTTCGACCTAACGAGCCTCTCATGGGTAATATTTCTTCAACTTGTCCATGTTGATCGGTTGGGAGAACTCTAGGCCATCTAGGTCCATCAGAACGACAGCTCCACCTGACCAGATAGACTTAATGATGTAGGGACCAGTCCAATTGGGTCTGAACTTGCCCCTGGGGTCATGAATGGGAGCTCGGTTGTCATTGAGCACCAAATCTGCTTCTTTTAGATTCCTGGACTTAACCTTCTTGTTGAAAGCCCGGGCAATTCTATACTGATAACCTTGAACATGGTACAGTGCTTTCAGTCTTCTTTCATCAAAGAGCATGAGTTCCTCAAATCTGCTCTGCTGCCAACCTATTTCGACTATCTGACACTCAGCCAGTACACGCAAAGACGGAACCTCAATTTCAATAGGAAGAATGGCCTCTATCCCATAAACCAATGAATACGGAGTCGCCCTAGTAGAAGTTTGAATTGACGTCCAGTAACCCCACAGAGCAAACAGCAGCTTATCTGGCCAATCCCGGTATGTTTCCACCATTTTCTGTAGTATGTGCTTGATGTTCTTGTTGGCGGCCTCAATCGCTCCATTGGTTTGCGGCCGGTATGTGGATGACTTATGAAAAGCCACGTTGTATTTCTCCAACAAGTCAATCACTTCCTTCTTGAAGTGGGAACCATTATTTGAAATGACCTCGTTTGGGACCCCATAACGACAGATGATGTTGTTTCTGATAAACTTTGCAACGTGCGATGCCTTCAACACCGCATAAGATTGGGCCTCAACCCACTTCGTAAAATATTCTATCGCAACCAGGATGAACTCACGCCCATTCGACCCTTTTGGAGTGACAGCCCCGATCACATAGATTCCCTAAACTGAAAATGGCCATGGCGAAGTCATATTGCACAGCTTCGACGACGGAATGTTCATGCGGTTCGCATGGATCTGACACTTGTGGCATCGCCGAACAAAGCCGATACAATCCTCCTCCATGGTGGACCAGTAGTAACCTTGTCTGAGGATCTTCCGCGCTAGCATTACCCCGTTCATATGCGCAACGCATTCCCCTCCATGGATGGCCTCCATCAGGCGTTTTGATTCTTCAGCTTCAAGGCACAGCTTATACATTCGCAGATGACCTCTCTTATACAATGTACCTCCGCAGATGATGAACTGAACAGCCATGCTTTTGATTGCCCTTTTATCCTTGGCATTTACCTCTGGTAGATAAGCTTCCTTCACCAAGAAATTCCAAATATCGTAATACCAGGGGTTCTCATCTTGAACCTCATCTATAGTAACAATCGACTCGTAAGCCGGCACAAATTTCTGGTCGATAATGACTGGACGCATTCGGACCCCAAATGGGATGTCTATCATGGAAGATAGAGTTGCTAGTGAATCTGCGAACCTGTTGTTTTCTCTTAGTAGGTGAGTGAAGTTTAGATTCTCAAACCGAGGAATCAGCAGGTCCAAGGTCTGGTGGTACATTATCATCTTTTCTTCTTTGACCTTCCAATCCCCCTTGGCTTGGGACACAACAAGGTTCGAGTCCCCAATGACGTTCAACCGTCTTGCCCCTAGTTCTAGGGCTGCTTCTAGACCGGCAATGCATGCCTCATATTCTGCTTCATTCTTCGAGACTTTGAATCAGAGTTTAAATGCTAAAGGGATACGGGAATTGTCGGGTGCTATCAGCAACACCCTTATCCCATACCCATACTGCTTCGACGCTCCGTCAAAGTACATCGTCCAAGACTCATCTTCGATATGCAAAATGGCCACATCTCGGAATAAGTACTCAACTGCTTCACCTCCTTCCACTGGATAATCCGCTAAGAACTCTGCTACAGCTCTTCCCTTGACTAACTTGCGCGTCACATATTTTAGATCGAATTCGGAAAGCAACAGCAACCAACGAGCTAGCCTACCTCTAAGTGCCGGCTTCTCGAAAAGATATTTGATGGGATCCAGTCGTGAAACCAACATTACGGAGTGAGCCAACAGGTAGTGTCGCAGCTTCCTGGTAGCCCATACCAAAGCTAGGCAAGCCTTCTCCAACGGCGTGTAGCGAGTCTCATGCTGTAGCATCTTCTTGCTCAGATAGTAGATGGCTCTCTCCACTTTGTCCTCTGATTCTTGCGCGAGCATACAACCCATTGTAGTCTCAGTTACTGAAAGATACAAAATCAACGGCCTCCCTGGCTCAAGCGGTGACAGCACAGGTGGGTTTTGTAAGTATTCCTTGATCTGTTCAAAAGCAGCTTGGCATCGGCTGTCCCATTGGAACTTCTTTCCTTTCTTCAGGAGGCCAAAAAGTGGTTCACAAGTCAAGGTTAATTTTGAGATAAACCACACGGTGAAGTCAAGGATACATACACCGTTTTTCCCTGATTTAGCCCCCGATTCCCCTATGGATAACTGCATTTCTCTTGAAGATGACACCAGTCCAAGTGTTGGTAACAATCCAACTGTCGGTGAGGGCAGTGTCTCTACACGGAGTAAAAGGCCTATGGGTAGGAAAGCTTCAAAAGAATTATTTCGGAGAAATCAAGTGGTTGAAGCTGAAGTCCAAAAAATGAGCATACAATTGGAGATATTTAACCAACACCTTGCTGAGGAGGAAATGAAAAAAGATGAAAGAGAAGAAAAAAGAATTCAAGTATTGCAGGAAATGAAAGAACTTGAGATCAGAAAAGAAAAACAAGAGATAATGACTACGGACATTTCTCTTTTGGACCCTCAGACAAAAGAATATTACACAATGCGAAAAAATGAGATTTTCGCTAAGTGGTCCTCAAATGTCAGCAGCCCAAATTACTTTTTTCCCATGCCTCCTGATGAATAATTACGGGATAATGTATTTTTAAATTTAGCAATGCCATTTAATTTTTGATGTAATTGTTAGTCTTTATTTGCAATGTAATTTTTAATTTGTAATGAAATTTCATGTTTTTATCTTTTATTTTTTAGTATTTTCTACAAAAAATGTAATATTATTTTTTCAATGTATAATGTTGAGTAATTTGTATTATAATTTAATTTTTTCAATAAAGTATAATGCAAAAAAATAAATATATTTTTTCAAATGAAGGCAATAAAAAGATAAAATACATTAACTGACATTAAATGAAGATAATTTTATTATAATAAAAAGACATTAAATGACATTAACTGTCATTAAAAAGATAAAATACAAACTTAATCCTACTCTCCAGCTCGGGACCACGAGTGTTCAATTAGATCATTACAAATTGCATTATGGGCTTCAATAGATCTAATCCTTTGCCTATTTAACACAATTTGAGCATACTCCTCATTTGGATCGCGTGACAGTTGACAACGGGCATTACTGGTATCAATCTGAAGTTGTGCTGCACTGCGTTTATTTTCTGAAATATCGCGCTCGTCTTCAATGATCATATTGTGCAAAATAATGCACGTCTTCATAATGTAGTACAGATCCTCATCACTCCAACCTCTAGCTGGAACTCTGAGAATATTAAATCATGCTTGGAGCACTCTAAATGCCCTTTCGACATCTTTCCGACATGCCTCATGCATTCTCGCAAATAGTTGTCTCTTTGCGCCTTGATGTTGAGATATTGTTTTCACAATCATTGCCCAACAAGGATAGATACCATCTGCAAGATAATACCCCATGGTGTACGCATGATTATTGATGGTGTAGTTGGCAGTAGGAGCACGTTCTCTAGTTAATTCAGCAAATAAAGACGACCTGTCAAGAACAGTAATATCATTTAGAGAGCCAGGCATGCCAAAGAAAGCGTGCCAAATCCATAAGTCATAGGAGGCAACTGCCTCGAGTACAACTGTTGGTTTATGGTAGTGTCCAGTGTAAGCATCGGCTTGGGCAGTGGGACATTTATCCCAACGCTAGTGCATACAATCCAAACTTCCTAACATTCCAGGAAACCCGCATTGTTCTCCCTCTTGCAATAATCTGGCGACGTTTGCTTTATTTGGAGATCTTAAGTAAATGGCTTCATACGTAGCAACAATTGATCTGGTAAAAAAATTCAAGGCAGAAATTGCAGTACTTTCGTCGATTCTAATGTACTTGTCTACAGCATCAGCAGGCACGCCGTACTGCAGGATCCAAAGTGCTGCAGTCATTTTCTGTACACCGGATAATCCCAGAGCACCAGTGGCATCACAAGTTTGAATGAAGTACTCATTCACTTGTTGAATATCATGTAAGATACTAACAAACAATAACCGCCTCATTCGAAAACGTCTCCGGAAGTATTCTTCTGGATAGACAGGATTATCTGCAAAATAATCTTTATAAATTTGTTTGGCGCCTTTGACCCTCTCACGATTAATGTATCAATGACCACTTGTGGAACCAACACGTATGGTTGGTTGGTTTAGGCTTAACGTCTGTATTCTTTGTTGTTGCGCTACGAATAGTTGCATCATGATGATATCATCATCAGATAATAAAGATTTATCAAAATCTTCACTGAATATGGCTTTAGTCAAATTGTTCATTGCAGGTGGATGAGTGAGTGGGTGAATATGAAAATTATAGAAAATCTGCTGGGTGGGTATAGAGAGTTTAGAAGATATGAAAATGATGGATAGGTGAATATGAAAATTATAGAAAACCTTGTGTTATATTTATAGAGAAAATGTGGGTGGGTGAATGATGGATGATTGTTGGGTGGGTGGGTGGATGAATAATGGATGGTTGTTGGGTGGATAGATGAATAATGGGTGGTTGTTGGGTGGATAGTTGTTAGCGAATGAATGTTGGGTTAATAATGGATGGTTGTTGGTGGTTGGTTGTTGATGGGTAATTGGTGATTATTTATTTTTTATGTGTAGTTAAAAAATTTATTAAATATGTAGTGATATGTGTTTTTGGTGGGGTGAATTAATCAAACAAATTTTTTTTTCCAATTTTTCATTTTTTTTAATATTTGTCTAGTTGGGAATAATATAAATATATAATTTTTTTAACAAACAGGTAAAAAAATGTCACAAAAGACAAAAAATAAACAAAAATAAAATCACAAAAAAAACCTATATCCAAACAACACTTACAAACTTGGAGGGAAAATTGGCTGAGATTTGCCAAAAATAGCAAATGACCATTGGAGCATCATTGCTATAATTTGGCAAAATAACACTATTCATTGCCAAATTATAGCAATAGTAATAGCAATAGCATTATAGCAATAATGGTTGGAGATGCTCTTAAACATATGATTGGAAGGAGAAAACCTAAGGCAAAGGTTGTCAATTACACTTCATATTTTGGGGAAGTTCAAATGAGGTCTCCAGTATTCCATTGGATATGTTCAAATCAGGTTTCGAATGACAAAATTAGTGAATTCAAAACTCAAATTTTGTTTGTTTTGGACAAATAGAATAAAATCAAACCATGTCGAATAAAGAAAGGAAAACTCAGTTTTATTAAGATGAAAGTAATTACATCAGAAAGTCTTTCTGGCTACATATTCAATTTCATAAAAATAAGGAATAGAGAAAATGACAAGGTCATAGAATTTGTTCCAACTGTGGTCAATGAATTTCTGTTCCTTTTTTATTCTGTCTTTTATCCTCTCCAAGCTAGGTTGCTAAAGCTAATATGCTCTTATTTGATAAAAAAGTTATTCGGCTTTTATTTCGAACTTTGTTTCCTTCAATCCTTGTTCCATCTCATCCATATCCAAGTCATCCCAGTATGCCGAGTCTTTTTTCTTGAAATCATTATATTCATCGATAAGGTTCTCTACTTCATACTGGGTGTGAATTCGACGGACTGAGATTTGTCCAAAGATTGAGTGGTAGCCAAAGAAGTTTGGTGCCAATGAAGAAGCAGTGGGAGTTGATCCAAAAACATCTAAAGCTCTGCTTGGGTAATGGGGTTGAGGACATGACCCTAGGTCATAACATCACAAGCTCGTTGAAAGTTCTTAAAAGGAACATCACCCTCAAGAACATTGAAGGGCAAGTGAGAAAAGGCCGCAAGCAGAAGCTGAGCTTGATATCATTCAAATATAATAGGGGAAGCTAGAGGTTTATAGGAAGAAAGAAACTGATTCTCAAAGAGAGTAAGTCTCAGTTCTTCCATCCAGTGAGGGTTTTGAAAAAGAGGAGGTGTAGGAGGATCCATCTCAAAAGAAAAAGGGAACTGGGGGTTGTTTACACATTCAAGCCAGTTAGAAGAGCAAAATTTCGCGCTCTGGGCTAAGAATGACGGGTTGTACCCTTGTGCTTTCTCTAGATGACGAGTGGCTTGCACTATCTTCGTTGGCATGGAGGATGTATACGATGCTATAAGTAAGTTGTCTTCTAAACTGCGTCGATGATCGATGGATACATACAGGTAAACCACCGAGCTCTGAGCAAAAGAAAGGAAAGATAGAAGATCAGCGAATTCGACGAATCGATGATTAATTCGCTCTCTCAACTTGGATTCCTCAGGTTATGGCCAGTTTCTCCAGCCAAAAGTCTTAAAAGAAGAAGAAGAAGTTGCAGCCTCATCCCACACAGAAGGTTTTGGGTTAGAAAAGAGCTTCCAATATCCATGTTTGGGTTAAAGAATTATGAACAATAGGTTCGTAATCCAAAGGTTGATAGTTTACAAAAGCTTTCATGACTTGAATATATGGAGATGGATAGGTGTGGCTAATAAATGTATGAAAATTATTTCGAGGGCGAACTACATTATCTAACAACTCCTCGTATGCTTGATCTATGTCAAAGAAGATTTGTTTGGCCATGCGAGCTGTATCAGTCTTTCCGAATGCTCAGATAGTGGGAAATGTTCAAGGAATAAAAAAGAATTTAATGCAGTCGATTACAGTTCTATGAAGATGCAAAACCCATGCACGTCCTGGGACGTGGTAAAGTGCTTCGATCCACTAATATCACCAAGTATTTGGTTTATTAGTGCGGGGGGTAATGTTGGCTTTATAATTTGTATAAGCCAATTACAAATTGACATGTGGCATGAAAAGGGCAATTTGCAGAGGTAATATAAGTTGCCAACCATAGTCAGACACGTGTCAAACCATATTGGTAATAATGGGTCTGTGTAACACTGGAATAATCAAAGGATATAAGGTGATGTGGCTTAACAGTTATTCATAAGGTTCAAATTCAAAATCAAGAGGTAAACTTAACTGCAAACATGGTGTAGTGGGACTAACTGTGAGAAAGCATGATCAGCGATCATGGAGGGACATTTCGACGGTTATCAGTCCACTTCGACGGTTATCATTGAGAAATATAAATAGCAGAGAAAGCCACAGAAAGGAGGATCCAGACTCATATCAAAAAATCAATTTTATCTACTTTATTTTCCTTCCAGTTTTTACAGTTCTTTATATTTTTGTACTTCAAAATTCCTGTATTGCACTTCATTCATAGGAGTAGTTTCAAATAGCTTGTTGTTGTAAACCTCTACGAGGCTAGATCAGATCATTGTAAATTTTTCATTTTTACTTAATGAAATGCTGCAATTATTCTTCACTTAATTGTTGTTTACTAAATTCTCCTAAACAAGCCACCAGTAAAAGTCCTCTTAATTGAGGCTGAAAGAATTAAAACACAATCGTCTGATAATTGGTTGGCAATTAATCTTCTGTAAGGACTAATTGATCCTTACTGGCACGTTTAAAATTACAATACTAATCTTCGAAAGCCAAAAAGCTAACATATATTATTGGCACGTCCAGTGGGACTTGTTGAAATGGCTAGACGTAGGAGATAAGGAGAAAATGAACGTCTAGAAGAAGGTGTGGAAGGAGAGGTAGAGATACCTGATCTAGAAGATAATGTGATAACACATCCTATAGAAGCACCTATCTCATTAGAACCTATGGTCAAACAGAGCAGTAATGTAGAATATACACCACGTGTCCAGAATAGTGCACAAGACCATGGAATTGGGCCATCCACTGTTCCATCTGCTCAGCCAATGAATCCGTGGGGAGGCCTAGTAGATACCATGGGACAGTAGTTAATGAACACAATGGAAAGATAGACAATATCCTTTATGGATCGGATGAATACCCATCAACCAACTAACACACTACAAGAAAATACACCTTTGGCGACTAAATTTTTAGTCGCCAAAAGTCCCTTTTTAGTAGCCAAATGTCAAATTTCCACTTTTCCCGACAAAATCTTTTAGTCGCCGGGTTTGTCGCGAACAGACAGTCGGCAATACCTTTGGCGACTAAATTAGAAGTTCAAAGGATTATTTATTTGCCAAGTATAAGCAAATCAATTCACTACAAGATTTACCAACACTAAAAATATAATAAAATCCTATATTCCAACTGCTAATGCTCCAATAAGAATTGATGTTAGCTTGTCGAGAATGTCACGGAACGGTCACTACAAGAAAATACACCTTTGGCGACTAAATTTTTAGTCGCCAAAAGTCCTTTTTTAGTCGCCAAATGTCAAATTTCCACTTTTCCCGACAAAATCTTTTAGTCGCCGGGTTTGTCGCGAACAGACAGTCGGCAATACCTTTGGCGACTAAAAAACATTTAGTCGGCAATACACAGGTCTTCTGCGACTAAGGTTTTAGTCGCCAATAGTCAATTCCATTTTTGGAAATTATACCTTTGGCGACTAAACTATTAGTCGCCAATAGTTAATTAATTTTTTTATTATTTATACATTTGGCGACTATTTTTTCCGTCGGCAATGCTCAATCTTTTGGCGACCACAGTGTTTAGTCGCCAAAAGCATTTTTGAAAAAAAAAAAAATTTCCCTTTGTGCCTCAGACACGCCTCGAACCTGAGACCTCCAGGTTTCCAAACCTTAACCACACACTCCAACCCACTATGCCACTGAACCATCTCATAATTATAGTTGCAACTTATATTATTTATATATTACTTTCACTAGTATTAATACAAAACTATATATATAAATGTATTTATATATATTTAATATAATTTATGTAAAAAATAAATTATTTATTAAAAAAAATTTAGATCACTTTTGGCGACTAAAAAAATTATTTAGTCGCCAATTCTATTGTTTTTTGGCTACTAATTAATTTTCCGTCGCTAAAGAAAGCTATTCCGCCTAAAAACCTACCCTTTTGGCGACTAAACCTGTTTTTAGTCGCCAAAAACCTCCCCCTTTGGCTACTAAAGTGAATTTTAGTCGCCATAAACCTGTTTTTAGCTACTAATTTTTTTTTAGCAGCTAAAAAGCTTGACCTTCAGCGACCAAAATGTTTTTAGTCGCC